AAAATCTAGAGGCAATTATCTAATGGAAATATTCTATATATTCCATATATGAGAGGACTGCCAATATTTTCAGATTTTGAAAACCTAATTGAAAGGCTGGTTCCAATGATGATTTATCATCATGCCATATACCTGTGTTACAAATTCAACTCAATTGACCTATTTATCTACCTATATATGTATATAAGTGTATATATATAAACACACACACAATTCAAATGTTACTTAGGCTAAGTAAATGTTAATCTTAAACTAAAAATCACTTAAATTTATGTTCTGTTATTATCTGCTACCCTATATTATGTTCATATCAAGGTATAACCATACAAAAATTCATTTATAAAGTTAAACAATATAATTAAAAATTTACATATATAAACAATTATAAATAATTATATATAATTTATATATAAAATCTTAATTACACATATATTTTTAAATAATAAAAGCCAATGTTGGGGTAATTAAATAAATTTTTAAAATATTCATTTATGAAAGAACTTTCAAATATTTAAATATTTCCCTAAGCTACTCAGATCTGAGATGTAATAAGCTTTTCTCACGTATCATCATCATATTTATTTTTGTAATCATAGACGCATCCTTGCTTATGTCTTCTTTTCTATCAAACCCCTTACTTCTGAGTCTCTACCTCCAGTAGCACTAAAGATAATTTAAAGCAGCAACAAGATGAAGGGAAATTTGAAAAGAAATTGAAAGTTCTGCATAAGTGGTGATATTTTCAAAGGGAATTTAAAGGCATCAATCCAGCTGATCATTCTCTGATTGAAGTTTCTTCTCCATGTCTTCCTTGGTCTTGCAAACCATGAGTTATGGAAGTGAATATTATAAGTATAGAAACCAGGAAGTGTCTATTACATTTTAAATTTAAATCGACTATCTTTTAAATTTAAAATGTCTATCTCTAGTTGCATATAACTGCCATGATATGAACAGTATATCTAGAAAGAAATGATACTTTGGCAAGCTTTCGAAATATTTATAGCTGAATGAGCAGTCTTAGAAAAATTTGGAAATGATATCAACAACCTATTTCTAATTTGAAAATAAATTTTAACCTATAGGAGATCCTTGTTTACTGTTGATTTTATGAAAGTGAATTCTCTTAAGAAATAAACCAGTCTTGTAAAACTACAGAAAGCACAGTAGATTAAGTTATAATTAAAATATGACTTCTGATTAATAGTGGGAAAAATTTTTTAACACCAGGTGGTATTCTGTATCTTTAGAGGACTCCATTGTTATAATACTGAGGGATTCAATGTTCTGAAATATGCCCCCCTATTTTTGATCCCAAATGTATCAATCATAATATTGATACATTTGATATTATATATGTAATATTAATATCATGTATATACATAATAATATTATGTATATATTTTATATGTAATATTGATATCAATGTATCAATATTACAGATAATATGGTATATAATTCCATGACAAAGTTATCTTTCCAAATCCAATAATCTCAATCATTGTTGTCCACATAAGAAGCCAAACTCTGCAATTCTAGGTTGTTTTAGGCATTTCTAGATCCATAAAAAAGAACAGTTCATAACAATTTAAATACAAAATGTACTTAAAAATCAGACAGTTATCTATACTACTGTTAATATAAAGTAGGAGGAACCAAATTCAATTTTTATATTAAGAATGTTTCTTACATGCATCCTGTTGCTCCAAACTCCTGTTTTTCACAGTAACTGAACAGAAGTAAAGCTTTGAAATTTGATTTTAGCTATTGAAAATTATCAGCTGAAACATCCACTTAAGCTGGTAATTAACCATTAAGAAAACACAGTTCTGAAGGCACGACTGTGAACTCCATGATGAATTAAAATGTAGCAATATTTATTTAAAAGCTGTGTTTCATAAAACTTCTAAATCTCCTAGGATTAAAGATAGCCATCTTTTAGAATAAGGGGAAAATTTCCATTGAGTGTTCGCTTCGCTTAAAAAACATTGTTAAAATCAGTTGACATACATGTTGTCTAGAAGTTAATTAACAAACATGAGAATTTTTCCAAGGACAAAGATAAGTTTTTCTGTGGTATGATTCCAATATATGCTAAATATTACAGAATCATTGGCATGCATGCTTAAAGCTGAACACAATGCAGATTGTGTACATACAGGTTTTAAACAATTCCAAATCACTGAAATTATTTCATTTTACTAATCACAGAAGATGCTCAATGTCTTGAACATTGCAGCTAACCAGATGTTTTAACTCCTTTACTCTTCCTGACACTTGTGTCAATGGAAATAATAGTTGCTATACAAATTTCATGTAATTATTCCATCAGTGCAGAATCATGATTCTGTGATGTGCCAACAGACTGATGAATGAGAGATTTAATTTATTAATTCATTACTCTTTTTCACTTGTCAAAAATTTATTGAGTGCCTATATGCTATGCATTATACAACATTTTGTAGTTATATCTATCGATAAGCAAGGAAGACACACAGAGCTCTATGATCACATATCTTATAACCTAGCAAGGGAAACCAATCATTACTGCAATCATTCTAAAAAACTAATGAAGTCTGCCACTGAAGAGACAGCCATGAATGGTTCTGTTTAATACAGTAATGTTCCAGTTAATATAGTAATATATTAGCCAGAAGCAAACACCACTGCTGTCTTACCAGTATCTAAAACACCTCGCTACCACATAAGGATCACCTATAAACAGACAATCAGGGTTTGAATAGTGATGTTTGACAGTTTAATATGATGTGAGAGAACCAGAAATTTTAACTCCTCATCGTATTGTAAGTAGTACATAACATAAAACTATGTACTCATAATCTTTGCTTGTTAGTGAAAACATATTTTCTCCAAGGGATCCTGTAAATGTTGATTAAAGTTTCTTAGGTCAGTTGTCAAGGTCTAAGCAGAATCACAGATGTTGTCAGAGTGAGATAGAGAAATGAGACAAGCACAAAGTCGAAGTCATAAAGCTTTTTAGTGGCAAAATAGGGCCTTGAAGTCTAGTTTTCTAATTTAAAGTAAGGGCTGCTTTCAATTATACCAGCCAGCTTCACATGCCCTATTTAAGAATACTGGGTGTCATTGCAACTCACTATAGCCAACTGATAAAATTAGTAGCATGGTAGGAGAAGTACTGAAAAATATTAGCTTTCAATTAATAATCAATTGCAAATGAAACTATAAATAACACTACAAACAAATACTATAGACTAACATGGAAGGCAACTGTTTGTGATGTGGTTAAGAGTCTTTGTAAGTTAAAACACAAGTGACTAAGTGTACACTTAAGTTATTAAAGTCAAATCAGCAGACCCCTGGTCCATGTGGCTTGGTTGGTTGGGCATCATTAAGCACACCAAAAGGTGGTGGATTCAATTCCCAGTCAGGGCACTTGCCCAAGTTGTGGGTTTGGTCCCTGGTCAGGGTGTCTTTGAAAGGCAACTAATTGATATTTCTCTCCCACTCTCTCCCTCCCTCCACCCTCTCTAAAATCAATAAGCATGTCCTTGGGTGAAAATAAAAAATAAAAATAAAACAAAACAGAATAAAATAGATTTCAAAACAGTAGAGAAGAAAAAAAAAATCAAATCAGTTTTTCCCACTGGAAGATGAGAACCTTTTACTTTTCAACCACTGGTTCAACTGATAACCTCTCTCTTTATTAAGGATAACCTGTCTTTTCTTTTTGGAAGCACAACAAAAAGGGAAAAAAAGAACATTTAAACTAATCAGATCTTGTTAGTTGATTATTTTTCTTTTTTCAAAAAAGAAATAAAGTTCCTTTTAGTTCTTGTACTTTTGAATAGTCCAAATGAGAAAAACAAAAAGCAATTACTCTCATTTGATAGGTACCTTCAAATGTATTTCTGATATAAAGCTAAAGTGATAACATGTATCTGAAAGTAATGTGTGTTATATTTCCTGTATCAACTTTATCAGTATTTCTAAAGATATAGACATAGACTTCATTCTAATGGTGATGTAGTAATCCTTAATTTTCTAACATCGAAATGGAAGAAAAAGTGAGTTTCTACTGGAATACGAGGACTTCTCCAGTCCTCCTGTGTCCAGTATTAAAATCTCCAGTGTTATCAATAATTTTCCCACTGTAACATAACCGTTGAAAGCTAATTATGCTACTTTATTGAAAGCTATGTATATAAAATTATAAAAAAAAAGGATTTAGAAAATATTAAATAAAAGGAAAAAATAACCCACTATTACTATTTCAGCATATTTGGTCTTTTTTTTGTCTACACCTATTTTTCTTGTTTCTATTATAGCAGACATGGGGTTTGTATTCTACATTCCATTCGTGTTATAGCAGAATTAGCTTATTAAAATTTACATATATTTTTATGGTTGCATAAAGTCCCATTGTAGTTTCAGTATTTGTTCTTCAAAGCTAGACATATTTCAGTAATTTTATACATTATAGTAAAATCATATGAAAAGAAACCCATGTTTAGAGCTAAAGAGACCCTGATTTGTATTCTCTTTCCAACTCTTAAGAGCTGTGTGGCTTTAAGCAAATTACTTTGCTTCTCTGACCCACTCCTCATATGGTATGGGTGGTTTTAATAAAAATATATGTAAAATGTCAAGTACAGTCCCTGACACATAATGCTTAATAATTATTACAAAAATATTTTGTACTTAAAATAATCTCCTTAGCTAGATTCCCAGAGTAAAATTATTCAATCAAAAATATAAATGTTTTAAGACTCTTGCTTAATGCCACTAGATATTTTCGCAATACAGTTATACTAATTTAGATCCTCAAAGGCAGTGAGTGTGGATCTGACCAGTAATAGTAAAAGACAAATGAACTTAGAAGGAAAATTAAGGTTAATTAGAAAGCCAATTATCTAAACAAAATAAAGCCTTAGCATTATTTATGCATATATATACATATATACATACACGTGTGTGTGTGTGTATACATCACTAATAAATTAAACTCAATGTAGACTTACCCTGCATGAGGGGCTGCTATGCCTTTATGTGAGGGAGATAAGGTCTGAAGTTTGTTTCCCAAAGAGCTACTAACTGAAGAGACTTTACCTGAAGGTACACCTTACAATAAAAAGGAATTAGTTTTAATGAAGCTATAAAATAAAAATCACGTAAAACAACATCTGGCAAGGAAAACAATGGTTTAGTGGCAATAAATCTTTGTGGCAATAAATCTAAACAAGTTATCAACTAAGAATTCCATATATAATATCCTTCATTTCTTATTTCTGTATTTCTTATAATATACATACAAATACAGGTACACTTCAGTAGTCAATATCTTCTTCAAACCATTAAACATTTGTCTATTAAGGACAATTGTCAAGTTCAGAGCAGTATAGGTAGAAATGAAGGAAAAATGGTCAAAGAATAAAGAAAAGCACTTGGTTGACTATTCTGAACAAATGCTTTATCAACAACATCAAGGGTACGCACTGAAACTAAAAAAAAAAAAGGGACTATAAAATATCTAAAGTATTGAAAGTTTATTTTTACCCAAAAATAATTACTTAACCTCCTTATATCTTGTTAATTATAAATATATTTTAATAATCGAGAACAGAACACTATCGTCATTTCCTTTTCTACCAATTCTGTTAATAACAAAAATAAAGCAAGTTATTTCATAGATCTCATTACCTACAACAGTCTTGCTTGTGCCACTTGGCTGTGGTAATCGTGAAGATCCTGACGATATGGTCCCAGGAGAATTTGACTTTTTAAGAACAGGCGGCTTATACTAAAATAATGAAAATAAAACTTTTTTATCAACATCAGTTTTGAATATCTATTGTTAACTAGTATTTAAAAACTAGTATTTCATTCCCTTCAATGAGCAATCTTTGTATTAGCTACTGTTATCCAAAGTGAGGAAGTATAGATTAAAAAGTGTCAGTTCAGCCCTGGCTAGGTGGTCAATTAGTTGGAGCATCATCACATACACCAAAAGGTTTTGGGTTAGATTCTCGGTCAAGGTACATATGGGAGGCAACCAATTGTTTCTTCCCACTCTCTGTCCCTTCTTCTCTTTCTCTCAAAAAACAAACAAACAAACAAAAAACAAGAAAAAACATATCCTCAGGTGAGGATTAATTTTTTAAAAAAGGATTACCTCAGAGAGAAGTTCCCCAAAATATGTTCCTTCTCAAAATTGGTGTACTAAAAGTTTGGCTCAGATGTTCCACTGCTAAAATAAACAAAGAGCAGCTTTCCCCAGTTCACAGGGGGCAGGGGGAGGAAGGAGGAAGGCTTAGCGGAAAATATTTCCTCAGTGTTAGATTTTAAATGCCAAGTGAGTGCTAACAGAAAAACTTAAAGATACCTCATGGTGCTCATTAGGTGGTACAGCTTTAAGGTCAGGATTCTACATGTTCTTGGTGTAGTTTTACATTTCATATGTGTAATGCCGTCAAATTTCCTGGTAAAAATTTCTAAGATTACATATCAGTAAGGACAAGTTTTACAGAAGCTGCCTTTTGGATATCCCCAACGTGAAGAGACAAAGCCAAGTTTGGCTTCACTGACCTCACCAGACCATGTCAGATGAATGGGATATGGGCTGAGAAAAGATAGAGTACATCACCTTATTTTATTTTTATTTTTGCTCCATTCTCTAGAGGGATATTACTATTAATTTTATTTTATTATTGTGTTATATGAGCCAAATTTTGCTCATATACTAAACACAAAAATATCTATCGCCTGCACTGATAGAAAGAAATATACCTGCCCAGGATTTCACCCCACTTAACATATGAACAGATTTTAAGACTCATGCCACCTCAGTTCCAGCCCAATGCTTCAACTATAAGGCTGCATAGACTACTGTGCTTGCATAGATACCTGAGATTCAGCCTAATGCATTTAGACTGCTTAGGACTTTGTGAAAATAGTTTTAAACCTGATTTTCAAAAACCAAATCATATTTCATAACCAATAATCAATAGTAGCACTAGTACTAAAACTACTACTAGCTAAACACAAATTTTAAAGTCAAACATTATAACTCTTCGAAATTCAGTATGTGACCTTTAAAAATAAATATTGATACAAGTTCTCACACACACACTCAAATAACATGCACATTTGGAACTATTATGCCAAAAATTGAAATTTCTTAAGCATGTGGCAAATAGAAAATTTCAATAATTATCTGTTAGATGAACAAATGACTAGAAGACTTTGGAGATAAGCCATAGGATAAGTCTCTTTAAAAACCTAACAGGTGTTTCTGGTTCATAAGGACATCTATTAGTATGTCTCTCCCACTAAAACACGAATGAAAACATAAGGAAAGATTATAAAATAAACAACAATGTGGAAAACAAGACCTAACAAAGACTTGTCAGCATATCAGAGACATGTCTACTAAAAATAGGCCCATAAAACTGAAAAAATAGAACTGGTGACAACTCATATTTTGCTAACTACCAAAAAAAGAGCAAAATGATCAGCATAAATGAAGGATGGCATATAATATATTGAGAGGTCAAATGTTTAGGTTGAGCACTGGTAGAAAGGGCTCTAGTAGCAGCATATATCAGGGACCTACAGATTTTTATATACATTTTAGAATTTATTACTATTAAGTTAATGGCTTATGAATAGAAAAAAGCAGAATATTCCTTTCAAAAGGTCCTTTGTCTTTCTGCTTTGTATATTAGACCTCCTACCATTTTACTCAATTTCATTGTCTGGTTTTCTGAGGTACCTAGAACCTAGCCCAACCTTCTCTATCTCCTACAATATTTCTTATTACTTTCAACAAGAACTAGTCAGATTAGTTTCCTTTCTGAATTCTCATACTATGAATGCCTTTTGTTTAAAACATATTCACTTGCTTCTCAGTAAGTCACTGTTCCCCTGACCTAGATACTCTGGCTCCTTCCTTGCTAAGCTGTATTTTATCTATTCTAAAACATCTAGCTGAAATTTTACCAGAATTATAAAGTCTTTCAGGATGACTTTAGCTATCAACAATTTCATATTAAGTTCATTCAGAATAACAAAATAATTTTAATACAATTATAGTCAACATATATTTCTTTTCAGTAAGTACTTATTAGGTGCCGATTAGTTCATGTACTTTTATGAAGATCACAAATCTAATATTTCCTTAGTAAAATATTTATATTTACCAAGACCTTTTATTGAAATTGGAAAAGTTTAAAGAACATGGAGGCCATTCACTTATAAAAAATGGCAGAAATTGCTATTTGAACCAACCATTCAGCTGAGCACTAAGAATGCTCAGGACTGATAATACTGAGGGCTGGTTAAAGTACAGTTGCTAAATATAACAAGGATGCATTTAAGCATCTTTAGAAAAGTACTGTATTTAGTTTACTAATAGACCCAGTACTTATGACAGTGTCTGATTCAAAGAGGGTGCTCAATAAAAACTTCTTGAATGGAGAGAGATGAGAAAATATGGGGTTAGACTGAAATGAACATATATGACTGGACATGGAATCAGCACTGAAACAACTGAAAGTGAGAAAATCAACTACCTGTATTTTACATTTATCAATCATTTGTCACCAAATTATTGGAATATGCACACTTTATTGTATATCCTTTGCTCTGTCCTTTAAACAAAATAAAATAAAAAATCATATTACTGTTATTGACTATTTATATAAAAGATATATGTTGTTTGACATCTGTTTTGGAAATTATTTGAAAGGTATCACTGTTTTTTGCGCACAAGGATGCTACTGATGTGCTCTATTTCCAATAATATTAACAAAAACTCAATGAAAATATTCTCTCAAGGAGGCCCCAAATTTATTGAAGTCCTTTAATTCAATATTTTATTAATAATAAGAGAAATGTATTTACTGTCTGCTACGTTTATAATACTAAAAGTTGTTTACAAATAAAAGCTTTGTAAAAAATGAAATTTGCTTGAAGTATGACATGATCAGTGTTTTGTGTAACAACATACTTTAAGAAAAACAACAGTATTGTAAAAATCAATTTCATGTAACAAAATCCCTACATGGTTAATGGTGTGCTAAGTGCTTCCACAGACATTATTCACTTGTGTCTCATGATACTCATGTTAATCACCACTTCACAGATGAAGACATAAAGGTTCAAAGTAGCAGTTTGGATTTGACCCTATATTCATTCATTTCCTCATTTGCATTCCTCATATATAGCATAGAAATATTCCATACTTACATAATTTTCAAAACACGATTTTACTGCCATTTTCTTATCCTCTGTCACCTCTGGTTTCCTGTGAAACTGCTGCAGCTATTTTTACTTATATTCTTACTTTTCCCCTAATACCTCTTTAAAATATATATATTTTCAAGTCTCTGCTAACTCAAGTCCATTTCAAACTAATTAATTTTAATTATTTGTTTTCAATTAGCCAAATTTCTTATTAAATTTCATTCAAATTACTTATTAAATCCTTGAACAGTAATACGTAAATTTTAACAGGTGAGAAAACTGTACTTAAATGTTCTATAAAACATAAACACAAAACAGTAAACTTGAAAAAGTCATTTTCTCATCTGTTTGTAGAAATGATTACGTAGCACATTTCACCTGGGTCCGAGAAGTAGCTTTTCCTTTGGCATCAGTTGAAAATTTGCCTTTATTACTAATACGTGCTGCCTGTTCTTTACAGAAATTTATATGTCTATCAGCTGCATTTTCATTAAATCTCCTCTGGCAATATGGACACTGAATATAATCTAAAGCAAAAAGAAAAAGAAACTTGATAACATAATACTTGAAACTGGACATAAAAATTATGAGTTTATATAAAGACAAGCATAAATAATAACATTTGATGAACAAAATCTCTCATTTCCTTATAACCACTGAACCTGACTTATCCAAACTTAGTAAGATATTTAAGCACAAAGTCTGCTAGTATATGACAAATTCCGATGTTCTTCCAGCTTAAGGGGAAGAGTTGAGGCGGGGGGCAAGGGAAAGTGGTGGGGGGAAGGCAGAGACAAATGTATTTGAAAAAATAAATTAATTAAAAAAAATAAAGTGATACCAAAACTAAAAAAATAAAATAAAATAAAATAAAGAATCAAATTTGAGGGGGAAAAATATAAATCCTTGATACAAAAAATGAGTAAGTAGAGAAAAAAATGTTATTTCTTTTTTGCCACTATAATGCCATATTTTCATCATATATACATATTTTTATATGGTAGAAGAGTTGAGCAGTAATAACACATTAAATTCAAAATATATTTTAAAATTTGAGATCTGTTAAAATCTTTTAATTCTATTAGAAAAAAATTCATGTAATAATTGACTTTATAGTTTTATTTTCTTTTGGAGACCCCAACAAATGAAAGAAGCGAAAACAATATACCTCATCAACATAATTAATTCAAAATTAACAGTAAACCCTTCCATGATAAAATAGTCTAAAATGCAAGGAACACTATAAATAAAATTTCTTTTAAAATTAGATCTCCAAATTATCACAAAATGAACCAAATTCTGTAACACTGTAGAAGATCTCAAGTAAAACACTGAGAAGACATTGATATAAAAATTTAACAATGGGAGGGAAGGAGGAAGGGGGCAAGGGAAAGTGGTGAGGGTAGGCAGAGACAAATGTATTTGAAAAAATAAATTTAAAAAAATTTAACAATGTCCAAAAAAATCTCAATTTATTTCAACATGTTTATCTTTGAGAGGGAGTGTACCCTTTAGAATTTACATTTATCTGAAGCTCAGAAATTTGTACCACTAATTAGAGAGTAGGTTTAAAATTTCTTATAACAAATGAGTTGTTTTGTGAACACTTAGAGATTAAAACATTTCTAAAGCTCAAATCAATATACAAATACCTCCAAAACAGAGAGAAAATTCAAATTCATGGGGAAAATGTGGAAAAATTAGAAGAGATCCAAATCCAGTTGGGTCACCCCAGGAACGCTTCTAGCCTTAAAGTTAATTACTTTAGTATAAAGGTTGGCAAGCTAGGGCCTCTGGGCCAAATCCAGACTGTCTGCTGCCTGCTTTGATAAATAAAGTATTATTAGAACAAAACCATACCCATTTATTTACATATTGTCTGTGGCTAATTTCTTGTAACAGTGGCAACATAGCTGAATAGTTGCAAAAGAGAGACCCTGTGGCCTGTAAAGCCTAGAGTTTGTTAAATTCTTCTCTACAATGACACATTAAAACTGATCATATCTAGATTTTCTAAAGAAATTTATTTTTAGTAACAAATAAATCCCAATCTAGAATACTAACACAATTTTCATGGTAGTTATTTTCACATTAAAATATCTACCTCTTCAGGCTACTCCAATAACCAATGTTAAAATGTCGACTGTGTTATTTTAAATATTTTAGTACCTTAATATCTAAAATGGAATTGCCAGCATCCTGCCTTGCTTCTGTAAACAGTAACAAGCAACTTTTACTCACTCAATGAAGAAAATATAATAACATGAGCTTAGGGCATAATTTAGGTATGTCAGTTTATATGGAATTTCCTCTCATGAACTGTACATTTTTGAAGCAATATTATGAATTTTTTTCCTTCCCAGATGAGAAAATTCCAAAGAACTAGGCGACATATTTAAATCTTACTGAATGACTATATTTCCATTCACAGTGAACAAGATTAAAATCTTTCCAAGAATATTAACATTTCATAGTACTTATAATAATTTTTAAAATATTATAATACTTTATGTTTAAATAAAAGAATTGAGATAAAAAGATAATGCATTTCTTTGTTCAACATTGATGTGCCTTAGTAAGTCCAAATGTTTATTATCACCATCATTTTAAAGATTATGCTTCATTATGCTCCATTACTATGAGTCAAGTTTACTAGCAACTTAAAATTTGTAAAAATTCTATCACTATTTTCTTCCCACATGAACATTACTGTCAACAACAGTACATATACCTGGATCATAAGAAGGTGGAGGAGGAGGAGGAAGCTTGCCACCCTCCTTACGGGCCTGATCAAGGCCTTTTGCGGCTCTTATGGTGGCAATGAATTCCTCATGTTTCCTTCTCCAATTAGACGGTTTCTTTGGAGGTTCAGGCTATTAAAAAAAAGAAAAAAGTTTTAAAACACTTTTTTTTTTAACAATAAATTAAGGTCAAACTTGAAGAAATGCCATATTACTTTAAACATTCTCTCACCAGGAGTCCTAAAATGATCTTCTTCCCAACTTTACAATTACAGAGAAGAACTTTATGCAACTATATTATATGTAATTTTAAAAATGCAGTTGTTAACTGTGATAGACATGGCTAAGTTGACTTTCGTAGGTATGACATGAACTTAAGTTACAACTAAGAGTGTATTTCACTCTTTTCCCATAGTTTCTCCTACTGAAGTATGTTATCACACTTTTGGGTTAACTGATTATAGGTGAAAAATACTTTTCTCTATGGTTTTAACTGCCTTTTCTCTTATAATGAGAAAGACTGAGCATCTATTCATACCATTATGAATCATTTGTATTGACTTTTCTGTGAACTGTTTATATGCCTGGTCAACTTATCTGTTAGGTTATTGATTTTTTTAAATTTTTAATTCTATCTTTAAATCATGTTTATTCTATTACAGTTGTCTCAATTTTTTCCCCCTTTGCCCTCCTCGACCCATCACACCCCACTCCCTTCTCCCACAGTCAATTCCCATTCTGTTGTCCATGTCCATGGGTCATTCATACATGTTCTTTGTTTAGTACCTTCTCCTTCTTTCCACCATTGTCCTCCTTCCCATCCCCTCTGGTCACTTTCAGTCTGCTCCATGTTTCCATGCCTGTGGTTTATTTTGTTCACTAAGTTTATTTTGTTGAATAGGTTCCATTATAGGTGAGATCATACAGTATTTGTCTTTTACCAACTGGACTATTTCACTCAGCACAGTATTTTCCAGTTCGACCATGTTGTCGCAAAAGGCAGGAGTTCCTTCTGTCTTTTTTTTTTTTCAAATACAGATTTATTTTATGTGTTTATTTTTTTAAATGTCAAGATCCACTATAAAAAACTAAATCCATTATAAAGTCTCAGCAATTCTGACACCCTTACAGAAATAACCAAGTAGATAAATGAAATAAAATGAGCATTCTAGAAACAAATGTATATATCTTCCTAACAATGTAATATATGATTATATTTCAAATCAATGGGGAAAATAAGGCTTATTCAACAAATAAGGTGAATGGATCTCTGTTACTTGAAATAAAACAAATATAGAGCCCTATTTAACACATTATACAAAAAATATTCAGGTGAGTTAAAAATCAAAATATAAAATCTAAGAAGTTTTAGGAGAAAATACAAAATAATATTTTTCTTACCCTGAAGTAACATATTCAAACCTAGAAGCTATAAAGTAAAATACTGACAATATGGATATATTAAAAATTTAAGACTAGAGTAATATTCATGTAAAAAAAGTTAAAGGGCAAGTAATAGACTAGAAAATTATTTGCAACACATCTAAAAAAGGGTTAATAGTTTTTATTTAGGGAAAAAATTCTACAAACATTTAATCAAAAAATGGATAAAGAATACCAAAAAGTCACTTAAAGCTTTTTAAAAATAATATAAATAGGCAAGATTATTCAAAAACAGGTTTAGTTTCAATAAATAATGAAGGAACAATTAAAATAACACATCATTGTCACAATCAGATTAACAAGTATTAAAAATATAGCTACTATCAAGTATTGGTGCCTGTGAAAGGAACTGGGTATTCATAGACTCTTTCTTCATCTTCTTGAAGCAGTCCCTTTGGCCTATTTTGCAATGCTGTTTTGGTGGGGATGTATTCTTTTAGCCTTCTTTTGTCTGAGAAGCTCCTTATTTCGCCTTCCATTTTAATTGAGGGCCTTGCTGGGGAGAGCAGTCTTGGCCACAGGCCTTTGCTTTTCATTCCTTGGAATATTTCTTGCCATTCCCTTCTGGCTTGTAGTGTTTCTGTTGAGAAGTCAGCTGCTAGCCATACAGAGGCTACCTTATATGTTACTATCTCCTTCTCCCCTGCTTGCTTTAGGATTCTGTTTGTCTTTGATATTTGCCATTTTAATGATGATGTGTCTTAGAGTGGGCCTCATTGGGTTCCTCTTGAATGGGACCCTCTGTGCTTCCTAGACTTGTGTGACTTTTTCTCTCCTCCAATTAGGGAAGTTTTCCATCATGACTTTTTCAAACAGGTTCTCTATCCCATGCTCCTCTTCTCTTTCTGGTATCCATATTATATGGATATTATTATATTTCAGGTTGTCCTGCATGTCTCTAAATGCCTCTTCATTCTTTTTGAGTCTTTTTTCATTTTCTTACTCTTTCTGGGAGCTTTTTTCTACCTTATCCTCCAGCTTGCTGATTTGATCCTCTGCTTCATCTGGCCTGCTTTTGATTCCTTCTATTGTGTTCTTCAATTTAGAAATTGTCTTCTTCATTTCTTCTTGCCTCTTATTGATAGTTTCTATGTCCTTTTTCATGCTGATATAGTTTTCAGTAAGTTCCTCATACTTTCCCTGCAGTGTTTGGTAATTCTCTCTTAACTCACTGAGCTTCCTTGGAACCATTGTTTTGTACTCAATATCTGATAGTTTACTTGCCTCTGTTTCACTTGGTTCTCTTTCTGGGGATTCTTTCGTTCACTTCGGGTGAGGGATACTTCTTTGTCTTCCCATTATTTGCGAAACTCTCCTTTTTTTCTTATTCTTCTTAAATTGATCTGTCTTGCTTTCCTGACTTTGTGGTGTGAACTTCTACGGGAGGAGACCGGTGTTTTTTTTCTTTCTGTATCTGCCTCTGATAATGTCAGATGTTGACCCTGTCTGACCTTAGGCAGTCTGTTTGAGACTTCCAGGAATCTACTGTTTCTGACTATTTCCTCTAGCTGTTAATGTAGTCATTCTACACTCAGCATGTCCCCTTAGAGACACTACAGAGTGGGGCAGAGTCCCTCCTAGGGGTGGAGTTATTGTTTCCTCTCAGGCTGCTGCGGCTCAGGAGAATGGTCTGTCTTATAGACTCACTCCTCATTCATATAGATGCAAAAATCTAAACTAAGTATAAGCACATTTCCATGTTTGAGATGACTAAGATTTTGAAGTTTTACCTTATAGTCAAATGTCTGATCACAACATTCACCTGCTCCACAATGAGTATTAGTCATCTACTGGTCAGTCTTGCTGCCCTCTTCTACCTTTTTCTTACAGTATCTGTATCAATGCTCAGCTAATGGTTTTTGATTACTCATCATTGAATGAATTAGGTTTTCCTGGTACAGCTATTTACAAGAGGTTTTAGGGAGAAGGAGAGGCCCAGTGTAGCCTTCCAAGCAATGCAAACCAATAGCTCTCTTCTCTGTTGCATCAGATACAGATGCAAATAAGGCTGTTCTGTGTGACTAGACACACCCCTTCTGCTTCTCTAAAATAATATGGGTCAAGAGGGTTACTACTGCCAGCCACACTTACCTCAAAAAAGAAATAGCCCTGTAGAGTGGGCCCCGCACCATCAGAAAGGGTATTTACCTTTTGGTAGTGCTTTCTGAGAGTCTCTGTCACTGGCTGAGCCACTTAACTCTCTATGCCTCCTCTCTTCACCACCTCCCTCTTAGCTTTGTTCTATTTCAGCCAGGCTCATTCTGATTCCTGGCTATCCAAGCCCCTGCAGCTCTTTTCAGTTCCAGTCCTGGTTGTAGTAAGTAAGGGATATACTTCCTGATAAGACCCTCACCATCAAAGTCACCTGTAAGCTGAGAAGACCTCTCACCTAAATTCCCAAGTTTCCAGATTCTTGGTCATAACCCCTCCCCCCAACCCCCCAGCAACCTCTAGCGTTTCCTTTATGGGTAACTTCTCCTGGATCTCACTTGTTCTGGGCAGCCCCTACATTTTGTGTTCTGTGGATTATGCCTGTCTTTGCTTTTTACAAAAATGAAGTTTGTTATTTGCTTTGTTCTACTGTGCTTGTGATTTTATAGGATTTCCTTGATACAGATAAAGGTACTGAGAACTACATTATGATGTTCAATATCTTCTAACATACTGCTTCTCAAACTTTAATATGCATATGACTCAAATAAGGATGGGGTTAAAAATGTAGGATCTAATTGAGTGTGTCTGGTTGGGACCTGCAACTCTGCATTTCTAACAAGTTTCCAAATAGTGCTGATATTATTACTCTATGGACCATCATTTAAGTAGCAAAAATATAAACTACTTAAATGTAAATCTATGGCTTTTATTTTTTTTCTGAAGATTAATTTTTTAAGTATATAAACTCATAAGAAAGACATAGGACAACATTTACTAAGAGATCGCCATGGATAAATTTATGTAATCCCTATAATAACCCCACAAAATAGATGATACCACCCCATCACCATTTTACAGGTAAGTAAAAGTATGGATTAAGTAACTCACCCATCACAAGATGGTAAGTAGCAGAGTCAGAATTAAGACCAGGCAGTCTGATCTTCAGCCCTTGTTTATACCCACTATGTTATACTGCTCCCAAAGATTTCAACAGTATTTCTTCTAAGCTAATTGACGTGAATACAATCATACATCTGGCAGGTGACTAAGAAAAACCTGAAATAATGTTTTACCTTATTCAAACTTTATCAGTACTTTTAGATAAATAGATGAAAATACAAAAATGAACATGATTTTCCTTTTACCAGATGATTTTATTAGTAAGATTAATTGCCCCCCCAGAGAAAGGTTTTCCTGCACTACTAGGAGAAGTTATTGTCACTGAAAGCAGGAATCTGTTTCAAAAACCTACTCAATGAGGTACTCAAATTTGACTACTGCACTGAAATAACTCTTTAAAACTTTGACAAGTATTTACTTGTCTTATTCTTAGCAATATAACACATCATAGTGGTTTTAAAGAGACATTATTATAGGAGATTCATTGCTTTGATTACAAGAAAGAAAAAAAGCTGAAAATGGCTATGTGTAGACAGCTGAGCAACTGATAAAACTTGCCTGCAGAAAGCATAATAAGATCACAAATAATGACAATCAACAAAGATAATCAACATCTATTATGCTAAAATATCTATAAATAATAGCTTTACTTTTATGTATACTTATTACACTACTGGTAAAAGAGACTTTAACATACTTAAATTATATCTGAGGTAATTAACAATGACTTAAAAGGAACATGTGAGGAGGACTTCTAATTATTTCCAGCCTACAGCTATGCAAGTGATTCTCTAATGCTACAAAAACCTCAAAATAATAGTGGGAGCTTGAGACAGTAGTTAAGCTTCTCCTTTGCAGCTGAACCCAGAACATTACACAAAATCCTGCTTATTCTTCAATCTTAGCATAACAGATAATTATAACTTTTTTCAATATATATATAAAAGCAAGGTTCACACTGTTCAAAGGTTATACAATTACCCTCGGTTTAAGAGGTTTTACTGTTGGAATATCAGTTCCTTCAGCTCTTTGTCTGCTTGAATCAAAAGTCTTCCGTTTTTTAGTGGCAGTTTTCTGGCAAATGGGTCCATGTTTTTTCTGTTAAGATGAAGAAAAGCAATGTATCATTTTCATTTCTACACAAGGGAAGACTTTAAACTGAATTTTAGACCAGTTTAAAAACCTGAAGTGAAATAAACAATAAATAATACATAAATAAATAAGGCATACCTTGGTTTGACTAAAATTGTTAAAATGTATAATGTATGCTATTAGTTATATTCCTCACAGCAAGAAAGTACAGATAAATACTCTTTCAAAATTGTATTGAGTTATTTAATATTCTAGTTTCTCACTTAGAGTAAGTGTAATCATTTCAGCAAGTCAAGCTGAGTCAGGAAAGCATTATTTTCATTATTAAATACCTGAAAATACTAAAAAACTAATGTATATGGAGAATGCATTTGTGTTAGGATTACAAAAGTTAATAGAAGTAGTTTGGATTACTAAAGTTAACATAATAGGATTATGTTAATGTAAAGTTAACATAAAATAATAGGACTAAGTGGTTAGATCTGTATCCCTGTGTCCTTCCTCCACAATTACTACCTTTCCTCCCTCTCGAATTCAAGTTTTTTACCATCCTTTACCCAGGATTTTTCTTGAGCTATCTAGTGTTCCACTCTTACAAGTATTTTTCTTAACGTGGTTGACAACTCATTCATTCAATCATTTACTTATTTATTCATTTTAAGAACATTACAATGGAAGCTCTCTTAACTGACCTCCAGTTAACCTACCAAATAACTAATACTTCTCCCTCCGCTAAACAAAATATGGTGACTGATGACATCAGTGTACTAAATGCACCTTTTTTCTTTTGTATTCTGAAAAACACTAACTGAATAAGCTGGAACTGTTAAACTTCACTTGGGACAAGGGGAAACCTCAGAACTGGCTTGGCTGGTTCAGTGTCATGGAGCCTCTTTCATTTTTCAATACACAATCGGTAATCAGTTGTTTTACATACTTGTTTTCATTTTGACAAACAAGCACTATAATTATAGCTATTAGAATAAAATCTTCTAAATATTAAAAGGGTGGCTCGCAGGTGACATTCTAGTAGATATTGCACAAGTTGTAGTTGTTACAATGATTACATCATGTAATTAAATCTATTACATAAACAAATGAGGGCAAAAAAGGGATTTTCTTCTCTGAAAATACAGCTGAATTCTTTGAAAATGATTTGACAAATAGTGAATTGATTTTTTAAAAAATCATTGAATTAAGTATGGGAAAGCTGTTTTTGAAAAAAATAAGAAAAGAGTTGTCATTTAAGAGGAGTTGGAGCTGCTTGGGCATTGCCATCCCCAAGGCAGCTTCTGTGGGTGCTGTATGTGTGCCTCCTGGGCAGATTCACCCCTGGCACAAAAGTAGGGCAGGGAACGGCAGGATTTTTATCTGATCAAGAAGAAAGTTCAGCATACAGTTCAAGGATGAATGTTTACTGTGGCAGTGACAGTGGCAGGTTATTGCAGCAGAAGACCAGCCTGATGGATGAAACCTCAGCAGCCCAAGAAAAAGAAACAAATAGCCTGATTTCTGGTCTTCAAAATCTTATCCTCTGGGTCTCAGGAATAATGATCTTTCACTTGACTATGCCTCTCAGCTAGCAACTCTTCAGTTCCCTCGCATAATGCCATTGTCCAAAGATATCAAAGCCTCCTGCTTCTTCCAAAGTGGAAATAAATCAAACCATGAACCAACCCTTTATTGCTCGAGAATGATCTGGAAACAGGCTTTGGCAGTAACATTCATTCTCAGGCACCAAAGAAAGGGATACTTCTTGTAGATGGCACACGTTTTGTGGGGAATCCACAAATTTTCACTGCTCATCTGAATACCATGTTGGGAAGGACATTTCGACCAGGAAGAGAGTATGACATCACACAGCCCAATGAGAATGGGGAGTGAGATTGCTGAAGGAATCAGTGCAACTGTTTTTTAAACTCTGCTGTATTACAAAACTGGTAGCATCAATAGTCCTGATGGCATCTCTATCCCAGACCTTAGAGATACCTTTGAGGTCTGGGATAGAGATGATTATCTCCTAATTAGCACTTCAACACTATCTGGTGCCAAGATCTGAGTGGTATACTGAATTAACTCTCTCATGACAATGCTCTCAAGCAGTTTGATCACTACCTTGAAGAACTGATCCTGTCCATCATGTGAGCTGTGCCAAGAAAGGGGAGAGAGAGTGCCACACTGTGGTGCTGATGGATGAGGATTCTGTGGACTGGGATGAAGACCACCCACCTCCCATCCATGAGAGGAAAATTCCCAAATTATGGCTTTAAGCTCTACAGAGTCTTCAAATATATTGAGAATCAGAATGTTGCAAAAACAGGGCCTGAAAACCATCTGCATTGGAATTGAAAGTTACCCTGTTTGTAAAAAAAAAAAAATTAACAGAAGACCTAGTGGCTGATCTGAAGTAATCTATAATTATGTGCAGCACCTCTTTATCCAGATATCATGGGAAAAGAAGGAAAAGAATTGCCACGTTGCTTTCCAGTATGTTTGAAACAAATCCCTCACTAACCTGGTAGCTGCTGGAGAAGATGTCTTGGAAGACCAGAAGATATTAATGCATCATCTACCATATGTGGATAAACTTGCCTGGCTAAATGCTCCATTTTCTCAGGTGACATCTAACGACTTTCAGGATTAGGGTCAGCTATGGGTTCATGCCTCTTCGAAGCTTTTCTCCGTCTGGGCTGCCCAAAGCCAATCTCATCAGTAAGAGACATACTTCTCCACCATCCTTTCCCTTTCTTTCATAATTAATGTGCACCCTTTTCAGTATATCTGCACCTCTGACATGGGATAAAAAAGCACTTACTGGTAATTAAGGTACAAGCTTTGCAGCAGCCCTGGTAACTTAACAATTTAGGTCTGATAGTGTTCACTGAATCTTTGCATAACTGCAAAATCAGAAAAGAAAGTCAAGACATTTGTTGCCTCATATTCAGCAAAGCAGTTCTCATTCTTTATGCTTTGTTTTTGGCTTTTGTGTGTTTTGTTTTACACCAAGAACATTAGCAGCAAAGAGACCAAACTTAAAAGGAGACCATCTCTATCTTCTACACATAGGCACTTAGAGCATACTCATTAGAGGTTAATAAAGATGCCATTCTTTGTGGTATCTGTGCCCAGACTTCATCACAGGAAAACTAGACTCTAATTCAAAATGTCTAAAAGGAAAATCTTAGGTGCTTAAAATTCAGTTTTGTTTTTTCATTAATTCAAAGAACAATGCAAAACCACATAGATTCTGTGACAGGAAGGATAATGGCATAACAATGTTTATGAAACCTTGGCTTCATGGTGTTTGAGCCTAAGCTGATTATCATTTTGAATCAAACTCACAACTCAACTAGAAGAACCTCTCCAAATCAGGCCACTTTGATTATCATGGCTTAGAATCTGGTGTGAAGCCTCAGGTCTTTACCCTAGAGCAGCGTGTTGCTACTGGAATGGCTGGGAGACCTTAGATGTGATTTAAAGGCTTCCAATATATGGGCAGAAGTTTCTCACAAGGGCTCAGTTTCTCAATAGGAAGACTTATAAGAACTCCAGGGAAGGGGCATTTGGGGTAAAGCAGATGGAGAAATATCACTGTCCAGGATTGGCCCCAGTACAGGATTTTTCTTTTCATATTTATGGAATTTTTTTGGATACCAGAATATTTTAAATAGCCTATCAGCTGCTCATACTAAATAAAACCATACTAATGTCATCCCCAAAGGAAGGATGGGTTGAAGGGAAATTAGACAAGTAACTCTGTTTGATCTGTCAGCTACCTGTTAATGCATAGTGTATGACAACCCAGATGACTCTCCCCAGCATGGAACCACCTTCCCCGATGCCCATGTGGCTAGAGCCAGATATATCATGGGATTATCTCCCATTTTGTGGTACAGGTTGGCCTTTCAATCACCTACACAGAACTCATCACGAATTATGAAGAGGCACATAGTTTTCCTTCAAGTTCTTTAAGATAAGAGCATGACCAGTTTTCTTAAATTCTATTCCTATAAGATACTATAGGGCAAGCTACTTGATTCTGTTTTATGACTGCACTAGTCATAGTCTCCCAAGGTGTAGTCAGGTGCGTCTTGAAAGCTGCACTTTCCAGGCTTGAAGAACAAGAATGTCTTAAGAAGTGTGTTCTCTGTGCATGCGGTCAGAATCACAGTGGAAATCAATGTTCTGTTCCTTATTCTCTAAAAAGTAATAGGGGTTAAACTGAACCATCTGCCACCTGTAGGGTTCGGATTACCATTGGCATCCACTTGTAAGGCTGATGGCCAGGTTTAAGGTTTACAACTAGGGTTACTTTGTAGCCAGAGGGTAGTTTTATTTCTGTAAACATACTGGTTGATATTTGAGGTCAGGTTTGGCTGTGACCTTACTGATATACATTCATTCCCACTAACAGTTGACCAGCCCGGTACTTGTTTAATGGTGCTTTCTTTGTACTTTCAGTTGACTTCCATGTCATCACAAAGGAAATTTGCACTGACTATTTGTGTAGCCTGTGATACGTAAGACTCCTGTTATACAGCTAATGTATTTTTAACATTTAGTGTTAACGCATTGCAGTTAATATTCTAATTTAATTAGTCCTTGCTTAGGTAGAAAGCCAGGTATGAAAGGATAGCATGTACTTAACACTTTTTTCTATGTACATGATTAATTTACTCAGGCTTTCAAGAACTAGATCTTTTTTTCCCCAAATTGGGTTAATGTGCTTTTAGCCCCAACTCCATGGAACACCTGTGGAGGTAAATCTGCCAGTGTCACCAAGTGGCGGTAACTGAGGTTCCTGCTTAAGAGGGAACCTCAGCCCATACTCTCCCAGCCTGGATCTCAGCATCACTGTAATTTGGTGGCTCCTTTCAGTCATAGCAGCTCTGTTTCCAGGGCCAGGACATTCTGCCATGGCAGGACCTCTCAGCCCTCACAGGGACAGGGGCTAGGTTGCAGTCATTCCCTTCAGAGTTAGTTACTGGCTACTTGGACAAGAAGTGTTTTAATAAAAACAGAAGGACTTGGGTTTCGTGTTTTGTTTTTTTTTTTTCTAAGTGCCTAAATAAGTAAGCCAGGCAGTTACATAGCAACATTTTCATAAGGAAATGGTCTTACCCAGCTGTCTTACTCAGATGTATCTCAGCAAGCCAAGATGAACATGAATTTAAGGTTTCAAATCCAAGTTTGTGTCTGCATCATATCACGTATAGTTGAGTAGGGAACATTTGCCATTGAGGACTTGGAGAGCAGTGAGGAATGAGACAGTGTTAAAATGTGTCTGGTGACATGACTTAATGATTTCTCCAAAGTGAAGGAAAGGTATTGAAAGAATGACAGCAAAAGGTAAGGAAGCTAGAAAGTAGCTGGATTACTAAGTACAATACGAAATATTACTTCATAGCCAATATTATTTTAAACTAAAATCCAAGAGAATGGTGTGCTATCTAATGTATACAGAAATAAGCCAAGGAAGGATATTTGCAACTAGTGTTCCAACAGGTCCTTGAGTAAGTAAAAACAATCAGAACACAGGCTTTAGTTCAAACTGTCAGTGTGATATGGAGCCTTTTTTATCGAGTAAAAATAGAAAGAAGGGGTTTGAGTAATTTATTCAATGCCACTTCTTGCCATCATTTTGAAATTGTTAAAGTGAGCATAATGAGTTCTGAAAGCAAACTTGATACTTACATGGGAGATGGAGACACATTAACTACCTGGGTGGGACCACCTCTGCAGAACTTTTTCTCTTAAAGGCAAAATGCCTTTAGTTTTGCCTCTTTACTTTTTATTTAAAGTTGCACATGTTCACCTAACACTGTTTACAAAATCCTATATTTGGGGTGCTTTTTTTTAATAATAAAATATTATCATTTAAAAAAGAGGACTCTGTAGTCAGACTGACATTTATGGATCATTAATTCCTCATTTTGCTTTAAAGAAACAAACTGGAAATATTACGAGGATGAAAAATGCTATATGGCAGAACTCTAATCAGAGGATCCATATTCAAAGAAAAGTCCTTACATCAAAATGTTAATAGATTTCCATTTATATTTGAAGGTACAATAATATATGTAAGGTACATAGGCATTTTTTCTTATTCTCTATTTAGACGGGTATTTTACATTAAAATCAGTTAAAAGTGCCTTTATTTATACTTAGTATATATACTAAGTATCTAAAAGTATCCAGAGAATGCTTAATATATTTCAGGTGTGCTTTTAATTGAAAACAATTTTCCTTTGGACTATTTCAAACATATACAACTATTAAGATTTTAGTGTAATAAACTCCCTGTTATTCATCACTGCTTCAATGATCATAAACATTTTAGCAATCTTGTTTCATCTACCCCAGTTTTTCCCGAGGTACTTCATTTTTTAAAAGATTTTACTTATTTACTTTTAGAGAGATGATAAAGGAGGGAAAAAAACGTTAACATGCAAGGGATACATCGACTGGTTGACTTTTGCACGCCTCCAACTGGAGACCTGACCTGCAACCCAGGCATGTGCTCTGACCGGGAATCAAACCGGAGACCTTTTGGTTCACAGGCCAGTGCTCCATCTACCCACTGAGCAACACCAGCCAGGGCATTTTTCCTTAAGTACTTTAAAGCAAATCCCAGATGTTATATAATTCCATATCTTTAAATACATTATGCATTTCTAATAGTTTTTCTTTTTTTTTTTTTGTTAATATCCCTAAAAAGAAAGGAACACTTTAACACTTTAGTAGAGAGATTTTGAAGACCAATCAAACTCTGAAGGGAAAAAGACCATCATGGAAAAAAGACATACATGGAACTTATATTCTTAAACAGAGAACATCAACCAGTATCTCTCCCAATTATTCCAGAGGATCTTTCCATGAGAGTTGTCCAAAAGAACTGAACAATTACTGATCTACCAAAACCGAAAGGAAAAAGGGAACTCACTAATGCCACTGGAAAAAATGTTCTTCCACAAATCTTGCAGGGTAATAATTCTCCAACTTGGACACTTCCATTTTCTAAAACAGAAAAGAATTTAGTCAATAAATTCTATGTTCAAATTGTGAAACATCCAAGTTTTATTTAACATCTTCTTTTAACTTCAGCATGTAAGTTGTCAGTTCTTGTGAAAAAAGCCTTTCATTTGAAATAAGTGACACTATCAATTAAAATGGGCACCAGACTCAGAATTTATCAGTGGTCAGAATGGCCAAGTCAAATACAGAAGTCATGATTTAAAGATTATCAAACTGATTTGTTGGAAGAATCTTATGTACTTTCAACCAAATCTTATCATATTCTCTTAATGTATAGCACATGTCTATTGTAAATTACTTAACTTTAAAAACCAAATTTACCTTAAGGTTAATATTATACATTATTAATCTTCAGAGCATTAAGAAATAACCTTGGTGATCAGTGAGGCAGCTTCCGGAGATAATCTAAGATAAAAAGAATCTTGTTCTATTTAACATCATATAATAGGAAGTATAGCACTTTAAGGAAAAGATCACCTAGTTACTATGCAAACAGGCATATTATGTGAATTGTTCATTATTTTATATACATTATATTAAAATTCATGGTCCAGCAAATGGAGATATTCTGACCTTATGGGCACAAATTCATTAAGATAGAAGTAGCTGCAACTTCTACTCAATAAAAAATTAATACATGTCATGTACTTTCATGCAAATTGTTATGAAATGATAAAAACTACATTCTTTGGGATTCTACATTACTGAATCAATTTGTCATTTTATTATCAAGCAAAATATCAAATCTAAATTTATTTCCATACCTGTAATTTTCTAAAAATAATACTTGAACCTGTATCTTTACCATATTTTCTGCTGAATATTTTACTGTTACAATTCACTTATCATATGAAAGACAGATAGAAAAACATTTTCTTTTAGAAGTAACATAAATAAACCCACATATGAAGTACAATTATGACTTTATATAATTTGTTCCAAGGCATTCACAGAAAACTAGTCAGGAAAATCAAAACAGACATTTGTGGGAATACAATCAAATAGTAACAGAAGAACTGTTTGATCTCTCATTCTCCTAAAATTCCACTGCCCTATTTTAACAGCAGATAGTGACCATGTGACACCTCAGATGGAGGCAACATCTGTGGAAGAGTTAAGCAGTGGACAGTAGAAAAGCAAAGCTAAGATTTGCCTGATTTATCCTTCCCCAAAACCAGAGGCTAGGTTATTTAGGGAGAGCAACTCCATTTATTTGGATAACTTAACTCCAGTTGCTGGATGAAATATATCAGGTACATTAAAATAAAAATGTCTTTACAATGATGGTCAAAGTGATGCCACATACTGCATAATCTATTAAGCTTGCTTATTTATAGTTTTCATTTATTCCTTTAAAGTCTAAGCAATGATTTAAAAATTCATGAACCCAAAATGTCAAAAAGTATCACATATTTTACTTGCATCAAAGTACATTTCAGTATCTCCCTGTTAAATAGAAGAGAAACCAAAATCTTATAAAAATTAACTATTGAGAAAAATCAGTTGAGCATATGAAAATAATGTGAGTGCCTACTTAGGCACCTATTTGCCAAGCATGTATCAAGTTAACAGTGACACAAGGGTGGAATGACAGAATCATTGCTCTCATAAAGCTAACAGTCTACATGATTCATGTCTTCACATATCTAAGGACAAAATCATCTCCCCCCCCTTTTTTTTTAAATTCAAAAACTTAAATTTAACAGCAACTAGAAAACTACAATATAATAAAATGCACCTTCTGGGATTAATTCCTACAAATCATCAAACATGTTCAAATTGTCTTTAAAGAAAAAGAAAATCATTATCACTAAAAGACCTAAAAAAAGAAGTATAACATTAAGGAAAAAGAACTTAAAAACAGTTACCTCAAAAAAGAAAAAAATTAATTACTCCATTCAAATAAATAAAGACATAAATTTATAATTTCCTCACATTAGCTGGTAGTACATAGGGCATAGCTTTATAAGGTATTACTACTGATCATATAGGTAGTCTCAGTTTAATGAGGTTATAATATCAGCTTAATCTACCTTAAAATTTAAGAGGTTCAACTGAGATGTTACATATAAAAATGCGTATAACCCATGATATAAAAAAGATACTGCTCTCCAGGGCATGCAGACAAAGTCCACTATCTCTCCAGAAGAGCAAAAAGCTGGCAAATTCTGCAGCTTATAAAAATACAGTACAGAGATGATATTCAGAGAGGTGATTAGTATAGCAGAGAGCAAACTGTGGAAAGAAGCACTCAAACTGATGGACTGAACAAAGTATATAAAATACTTTAATATTCTAAAACTACCAGATGTCAATCTTGCCTTACAAAATTTTTCCTGCACATATTATTAATTCTATCAGGAGTTGCTGTATTTAGCAACTTGAAAACCTGCATAATAATAAAGCTTGAAATGGTATTTTATATAATACTATTACATAGGTGACATGAAAAAATACGCTGTTAAAATAGTTATGACATTCTAAAAATGTATAAATTTAAAAAATAGGAGAGAACACTTTCAAGAGAAAAATAAATCCTGGAAATTAAGAACTGAGCTGGCCTCTGTGTGTAGCATGTCTATTTCCTATCCACCTGAATATAACCTTTAAAATTCAACAAGCCTCCCTTTTGAAGCAAATGGCATCTGTTTTATCACCTTTCTCACTACAGCCCCTTTAAAAATCAAATTACTTTCAGTTCAATGATCTTTAACATGTCACAAGATTTCCCTTTTTCAGCTCATCCTAGATTTCAAATTCACACTTAAGACTACTCAACACAATACCTTCACCCTCCACTCTACTTTAGTTCAGCAAAACATCCAAGGGCAAGGGTCTTCCTCTGGGACTCTCAAAATACTCAAGCTCCCTCTCCAATCACAAACTCCTCCCTTCCACCTCTCCATAAGTTTCTTCTTGATTTCAGGGTGACTTGCATGTTCTTGATAACTGAACTCTGGCTGCACTTCCCTTTCTACCTACTCTGAACCTGACTTGTCATTTCTACTATGTCTGACCAATCATCCTCATATCCCTTTCTTCATGGTCAAATGTATGGAAAATTCTAAAAGGAAAAAAGAGCTTTCTTAGAACAGAACTATCTCAGTCTTAAAAAAAGACTTAGTATGCTGTTATTTCCTCAACAGAAACCCTTTCTGCCCTGTTCCTCACCCCTGACCCTCACCTCACTGACGTATTTAGGATGAATGTCCTGAATAGCACATTTTTGGAAATACATTTACTAACTAGCTTCTCCCTACCACCTCTCATTCACTCTCTATCTAAATTGCAGGCAAACTTTACTAGGTCTTATCACTGTATTAAAATAGATCCATGTGTGGATTCAACAAGTACACACTTACTGAGCACCTATGAGGTAGGAATTGTTCTACGAGGTAGGCAAACAGTGATGATAAAAACAAAGAACCAGATCATATGAAGCTTCTGCTCTTCTAATAGGAAAAACATAAATAAAAAACAATTAAACATATAAAATGGTCCTGGTTGGTGTAGCTCAGCTGGCTGAGGTATCATCCTGTAACCAAAAGGTTGCAGGTAGGATTCCCCCGTCAGGGAAGACAGCTATGTTGTGGCTTTGATCCCTGGCCTGGGTGTGTGCAGGAGGCAACCAATCGCAATGAAAAAATGTCCTCGTGTGAGGATTAAAAAAAAAGAAAATGTGGAGTGGGTAGGGGTGGGGAGAGAGGGGAAGGTAATGGGGGGAAAATGGGCACATAATTGAAGAAGAATATAAAAAACTGTATTCCTATTAGAGAACTACTAGGGAATATTAAGGAATTATTAAAATTGTTATGTGTCACAATGAAAAAATAAACTTATGTAAATATTGAATTATAAAAAGTTATTTATTTTCCTTGCAATAATCTTTAATAAAGTCTCTTTTTACTAGGTCTAAAAAAAATGCCAGGTGGTAATAAGCACAATGTGGAAAAATAGAGCAAAGTAAAGGAAGAGAGGACAGTCATAATGCTATGTATGTTTGTATTTGAGGACTAGGGTAGGATCAGGGAAATCTTCTTTAATAAGCAGACATTAGAGTAGAGATCTTAAGAAACACCATCCAAGTACTAATTGTCAAATTCAAAGGCCTCTTTTGAATCCTTGTCCGACTGGACCTTTCTATAGCATGAGGCACTGCTGAGCAATTCCTTCCACCTTTAAAATCCTTTCTCACTTGTCTTCAATATATGCCTCTCCTAAGCCTTGGTTTTTCAGATCTCCAGCTAAGCAGGGTTTGACCTGGTTAGTACTTAGACTTATAGGAACACCAGGGGCCATAGGCTTTTCTTCAGGCACATAATAAATATTAGTTTCTTCCCAAATGCTTTTTCTTGACAATTTAAAGGGTTAAACCTCTTTAAATATTCTTCCCACCTCCCACCCCGGGACACACACACTCTAATTTCTCTTCACCTTCAAACCTACAGCATCAGTTCTACCCAAGTTTCTTTCCTCATTTTGTTAAATATAACTTTCAGGTGAATGTTTTTACTTGCCATCAATTCTATGCTGATGACTACTAAACTAAAAACTCCAGAGATACTTCCAAGTACCTATGAGACTTTTCTACCAGATATCCCTGAAGTACTGCACAAACACAACATTTCAAATGCTAGACTCATTACATCATCTCCCAAACTTGGCCTTCCTCTTGGTTAAAGATATTAACTCTCAGTCCAACCTAGAAAGCTGCTTTATCTTTTATTCCTTTTTCTTCTCACATCCAGCAGTCATATCTCATCTTTCCAGTTCGGAAATGTCTTCTAATCTATCCTCCCCTTTTCAATTCCTGTTACCTTCCCCTTTGTTCAAATTTGCATTACGTATATATTTCCGGCCTCTCCCTTCTCCTGATATCCTGCTGCTATGATTATCTAGTGGGATTGCCCTCCAATCCCTTAGAAGCACTCTGTTTTATCTATACTGAACCACTCTTAAGTTCCTAACGTATTTCTTGAATTTGAGGGGGCCTGTGTATTAGGCACTTTGCTAAATGCTTTCTGTATTACAACATTTAATAATTAATATACTTCGGGCAGATTGGTATTTAATTGCTCCATTTGTTTATAGCTAACCGAGGGTCAGATTAACTGCATAAATTATAGAACTAAAAAGAAACAAAGCAAGGATCCTCTCTAGCACATCAGTTATCCTGGCATCTGCCCCTGGCTGGTGTGTCTCAGTGGATTGAGCACCAACCTGTGAACCAAAATACCTGGCGTCTGGCTCAGTACCATAAATACAATACAATAAATGCTAGATACATTAAAAAAGATGAAGAATTATTCAGTAAACTAATGTGTTTAGGGAGAAACAAAACAAAAAGGAAACTAATGGGACAGGATGGCTATATTTCATAGATAAGGGCTACACTGGAGAAGAGCAATCAGACTTGTCATCAGGTTTTAGGGGTAGTACACTAAGATCTGCTAACTATAGCAGTTCTTAGAGGATGGGTAGTTTCATCGATCTCTATCACAGCCGTTAATAACCTCTCATCAATGTGTTACAAAAGGAATGACAATATGTGTATAAAATCTGCTTAGAGTTCATCATCTCTCCATTTTACTGATGAAAAACTTATGAGAGATTGGAACCTTCCCAAGTCTAGAACTACCTCTATTGCTTTTAGATATACTTTATACCTATAGGTTACAATACTTACATGAAAAGACATTAAAAGGCTTTGCTCTAATAACCCACACAGGCAAAAGTGCTTGGATACAGTTTATACAAAATCATGAGAAATCATTGATACTTGATTTTGAAATACAGTGTAAGCCTAATAGCTCATCTCTTGACAATCTACGAAACATACAGGTCCAGGAAAACCAAAAATAATATAAGTGGTAAAAGATGAACATGCAAATAAAGTTATAAGAAAGAGAATGATATCAGAATTTTTCAGGGATTCATATACTTGGTTTTACAATCAAAATTAGCCTGGCAACTGATTTAAACCAGAAACATGGGTCTAATGCCAAACAATGTAATATTTGCTCAATTATTATGATACGTTAAACAAACTCCTGAAGATTTTCTACTAGATACAGCAATATGATGTTTATTAGACAACTTCAACATGTTAGACTTTAACTTCCAATAGGGCAGAAAAATCATCTATCATATATCAACATTTGTTAAATGAAGACATAGATGCATTACTGAAGGGTAACCCTAAGACACAAAGGTTTTGATTTTTGCAAAATGGGACTTTAAAAAAAAAGAGAGAGAAAGAAAGGCACTGTCCTAACTTTAACAAAAAACTCTCAGTTTTTATTTTATTAGTTTAAGCCATTTGCAATTATGACTATTCAATACTTTTGCCCTACAAAAAGGACCAAAAAAAAAAAAAAATCAAAATCAAACAAAGAATGAGGAGCAAATACTGTTTAAGATGAGATACCACAACCTGGGCCCATAAAACATGTCTATAATAACATACTATATTCTATCAGAATTCATGTATTTCTTGACTCATGTAATTGAGTACAATATAATAAGTTTTCACTAGATTTTTAAAAGCATTCTTAGTAAGATTTCAATAATATGTCTTGGCACTGATAAAATACAAAGTTCACTAAAATGTAGGCTCAATAAGAGCAGGGCTTTGCCTTTTTATTTTTGGCTTCATCCCAGGGCCAACAATAATGCTCATCATAGACAAAGTCATTTATTTAACAACAAATATTTATTGAGTACCTGCTTTGTATCAGACACTGTTTTCGGTGCTTTGTATATATAAGTGAAAAACTGACTGAAGCACTTTGCCTTAATTATAAATGTTGAATAAATTAAAAACCTTTAGAGAAACGATTCTAAAGCACTTTATGTATATTATGATAACTTGTGAGAATTCCAGAATCCAAGATCCTACTAAGCTGTAATACTATCACGTTTTAAAGTTCACTGAAAAAAAAGAAAAAGCTGCCCCCAGATGTCCTCTAAACAAAAGTATCTTGAAAGTAAGAAGTACCATCACTATAATTCCTATTTCATAGAAACTTGAATGACTTGCCTAACATGAATTCAGAACAAGACCTTCATTTGTTATAATATACCACAGCTGCCTGCAAATAGACATGTATCATAATTCTTCATTATTGTCCTTAAGGTGTTTACTATAAGAAATTCACCTAAGAGCAAAAGCATGAAATATTGATCATGGTCACTATTACATTTGCTTTTTTGTGAGCTTAGGTCACTGCAGTTATTATTTTTCACTTGAAAACACAATTTGAAATAACATATTCTTTAACATGCAATAATGCTTAGAGGCTCAATGCCTCTACTTACCTTTAATTCCACCTGAATCTATTAAAGGGGTGGGCGGGGGGGGGGGGGGGGAGGGGGGGTTGGGGAAGAGCTAACACCAGACAACAGGATCTTTCAATTCCACAAGCTTATTCTTCATCGGAAAGATTAACCACAATTTGAAAAAGAAGCTTGAGACTGTTGCTGCCAATGCTAGTTGGGTGTTTTCTTTCTTTGTTGTTTTTAGGCAAATGCTATATTACAGAAGATAAAATAGGTAAAGAGAGTAGAGAAAAAAGGGAAAGAACTGGGAACAAAGCAAAATCAGGAGTCATGGTTACAGCACAAGGATATACCCTAAGATAAGGAATCAATGCTGGCTCTTCCCTACAGAGTCATCGTGAATGAGCCCTTACTTAAATCCTTCGGTTAATCTATTGTCCCAGCTGTAAAGCTGGCCAGTGACACTTTCTTGGAAGATGTTCTTGGCATCCTCCCCATAGAAGACACTGTAGAAATGGCAAAAAGGTTTCCTAGGAAAACTGGCCAAGGAAAGTGTCAGAAGCTCGAGGCTGGAGACACACCCCAGGGACCCAGCAGACGCTGGAGGTGGGGAGGCTGTAGACATTCATGGAGGGTCCACTTTGCAAGGAAAATACAATCTGGCCAGAGGCTGTGATTACCAAAAGGACAGCGGGAGTCAGGCAAGACTAGAAAACGGTAGGAAGGGACTTGGAGCCCTGTGCCAGGGACAGATCGGACGCTGGGTGCGGTACCTCAGCTGAAAACCGTCCGAGGTGGGTGTCTTAGGGTCATTGGCCACACGGCGTCGGGGACTGTCGGGCTCCCGCCCTCCCGCCCGGGCCTCCGGACGTACCCGAGAGGTCCGCCGCTCAGGACCTGCCCTCGCCTCCCCGGTACCCATGTTCAGGGCCCTGCAACTGCTCCGAGCCTGTTTCGGCCGCCCGGCCGCATCCCTTCTCCCTCTCACCTTCCAGTCCCTCCATCGCTCCACTGCCTCTTCCTCTGGGACACTCCTCAGGCAGCGCCCACAACAGCCCAGCTCCGACTGTAGCAACGCGGCCGCACCTCCCACCCGCTAACATCCCGGGCTCCCATTGGTCGGCGGGCGTGGCTTATAAGGGGCCGGGCCTGGAGAGGCGCGCCGCTGGCGGTCGCTGTAGCGCTGTTTCCCGGCTGCTAGCGCTTTGACAATTCCGCCGTAAACCTACTCCTCTCTAGGCTTTCCGCTTCCCAAGTGCGCCTTTGTTCCACTCCAGCCATGTTACCCTCACAGTTATCTGTTCAGCCCACCTCAGCACTGCATGGGCTCCCTATCGCCCGTCCCTCAAGCATCTTTGCAGTTTTGTGTTCCGGCCGTCCCTCCCTGAGTTCTGTTAAAGCCAACAAGCAAACCAGACGCATGTCCTGGAGGTGGCACCATCTCCATTTTATGCCCTTTGATCACAAGTCTTGATCTGAGAGCATCCCTTAAACGGTGTCTCTCACACGGTTTTTGTGAACTAAGCCACCTTTCCCTAGATATCCCATTTTCTGTCTGGGACGCGGCACTGAGATTGTATGCGGCACTGAAAACAGTTTCCTCAACAGCATCTTCTCTTGGCCCATCATGGCCCTCCACTTTATCGCTGTTAAGCTCAGGTAGCCTGCTGGCCTCCTCACTAATGAGGTAACCTCTACTCTAAGTTAAAGGGAGATACCATATACACCTGACCAAATGAGGCTTGTTTCTCTCGGGCATAATCAATTGGAAATGAAGGTGTCGACCAGAGAAGGACTTTATCTGACAATGTTTGCAGAAGCCTATCACACAGGCTTTCTATTAGTGAAAAGCCTTATCTTTAATCCTTGCTTCATAGTCTTAGTCTCACTTACACCTTTACTGACCAATCAGAGTGGCTTCATAACATGAGTCAGGATGTGTGGTTCTGACCAATCAGGATAATGCTACTTGGGCCAATCAAACTGCAAATATGGCTGCATAAGAGAGGATCAATCAGGGACCAGGAGTGGTACTTTTTCTATAAAACGGCGTCCCATTTGTGCCCGGGGGCGGGACAGGGCACTGAAGCTGGGTTTCCCGGGATAGTTGACAAACTTCATTTCCTGTTGTGGAAGCTGTGTTCCTTCAGTTTGCAAACTGTTCATCAAAAAGGAGAATAAAGTTTCTCCTTTCACTGCATGCCAGGTTGGGGACATCTGTTGGCATTGGCATAGTGGCAGCAACCTTCGTTGACAAAGGTAACTTCATAACTAGCTGAAACCTTTGATTGACAGTTTATCACATTTCTCCAGGACTAAATTTCTTTGAAAATTTGATGTGGCAGTGATAAACAAACCATATTGTTTGGTAACTTTGTATATCTACTGTTAAGTTATAAGTTTTAATGTAATTTCCTTAACAAATCTTACATTAGTTTTCTCATTAATCTGTTCAACTGCAAACTTTTTACTTTATATCCAACTTGTTTACTGTCAGAAGTATGTATTTTACAAACCTTTATGAAGCTAAAGTCCTATTCTGTATTCAGATGAAAGTATTATTAACACACACTTGAGGGGCACATCAGCTCTTACTGTGAAGGTCCTCTAAGTGCATCTAAATGTAGTATGGTCCATCTCTTACATGCAGTCATATAAGGGAAAACTTCCACTATGCCTGTCTGGACCCCTGCCCTTGGTTCTACTCTGGTTCTTCTGCTCCTCTGAGATCTGAGATCCTGGCCCTGTTGTCCAAACCCCAGTCTTGCTTGCCACATAACCTACCCTCATTCCTGGACTAAATGTGGCAAGTCCCTTTTTCCTCAGTACTGCTAAAACAAAGTTAGAATTGGCATAGGGACAACTTTAAAAAGAGCACTAAAGAAGAAAAATGCACACGTAGAAGAAAGCCTAAATATAAAGAGGCAATTTACAAATTACAAGTTCTTAACTGAAGTCAGGACAGAGTTTAAGTTGACTGATACACAACTAATTGAGCATAAACACTAGAGTAATAATAAAGCAATAATAATAATAACTTTTAAAAATTAGGCATGTTTTAGGTCTTTTTTCATATACTTATTTAGTATTAAAAACAGTCTACAAATAGATTCTTTAATTTTTTACAATTACAAATTTCATTTTCTAGATGTCTCAGAGAGATTCCATAGTATTTTTCACCAATATTTATACTACTAGTGAATGGTAGCCTGGATTTAAACTCTGATCTGTCTGATTCTACCCTATGACAATTTCATGGGATTCCTCACCTTGCCTTCTAACTACCTCAAATATGAAGCTAAATGTTCAGTTATGTTGTTTAGGGAATATTATTTGGGTAGTCATTACCACTGTCAATTTCAATTCTGTAAAACATGCCTGCTCATCTCCTCTACAGGGACTATGCTGTCAGCACTTCTAAGGTACAGCTACCTTGGCTTCTGCAGCTTTCCTCTGGTCCTGACCCCTGGCTGAAGAGGAGAGTTTCTTACCTGCTGTCCTAACTTCCTTCCTCTGCCTCCTGTGTGCCTGGTCTGAGAGTCTCCCTAGTCTTGGTGCTGTCTTCTCATTTTCCCTCCTCCATGATTCACTCCATTTTTTTGATGTCAAATATTTGTTGAATACTTATAATGTTTCAGGCTCCTTTCATTACTAGCCAGTTACTAAAATGAATGAAGCTCAGTTTCTTATGTTCTTTTCTGTTCATATTTTTTAGCTGCCAGGTTATCTTTTTAACTGATGATAGCATTCGTAGATGAATACTCATTAGAGATCATCCCACTTCCTTATACAAAAAAGAAAGCAAAGGTTCAGAAATGTTTACTGACTCAACTCAGGCCCCAAGACTAGCAAATAGTTGAAATAGATATTGTACCCTTTTCTTATTACATTATATCCCCAGTTCCTTCCACTTTGCATTCCTTTCCATTCAGTCACCATTCCCTGGAACCAATCCACATCTTTTCTTCACCTTCCAAAGAGCTGAGCAAACTACATATATCTTCTGTTTCAAAGTTCCAACCTCCTGTTGTTCTCACACAAAGATCAATTTCCCTTTCAGAGACAACCTTTGGCTCTTATTCAAATTGTTTGCAGAGCACAACCAAGTGAGATTTTGAATCTCAGTGAGAATGGAACAGAAGTGTATCAACTCTGCTCTGTAGGGTATTTCTTCCTTCCACAGCTTACAGAGTAAAAACCCATCACAATTTAGTATATAAAAATGAATTCACACATTTAATAATCATAATAAGATGATAGTTTTCATCAAAAATAAAAGATGCATTTTTCCCTTAAAAGTAGGGAGAAAAGGCTATTTAACAGTGTTCTAGATTAAGGAAGCACATCCTGAATTGGCTGTTATTAGCTTTATTTTGTAAATTGAAGTAAAAACAAAAATTTTTAAGTGTTCCAGGAAAATTTAGTGATAGTCCTATACAAAAAACACCAAGAGAAAGAAAAATAAAGGAACCTAAAGCAAATTTCATCTCCTTCACTGATTGGAATGCTATTCTGCTCACAGTGTAATATCAATTATCCTATCTCTTTCTCCTCTATTTTTAAAAGAAACTCCAATTCCGGAAAGAACCTCCATCCTCCTCCACTTTCAAAACTAATCCCCAGCCGCAAAATGATACATTTTTTTCAACCTTCAGTTATGATCCCATCTATCCATACCTTTCCACCACACTTCCAAATCCCAAATGAAAATCTTTGAACCTAAATACTTACTGAGATACTCCTGTGTATGCAAACAATGTTCTAGGCACTACAGGAAGCTCCAAAGAAGTCTCTCTGGTTCCTAGAAAGTTAACAACTAGTAGTGAAAGCCCCTAGAGAAGACATAATACAGAGCAATACAGAACAATGTGTTCAATATATTATTAAGACAGAGTAATCAGTTTCAGGAAAACATTTACATGAGTAGAAAACTGTTAAAGTTTTTATAGAGTAAAATTGTGTCTTGAATGGTGTCAATGGATAGGTATATATCACTGAGAATGGCCTAAGTCTCCCTAAGAAAATAATGCAAGACTGGCAAGTTCTGGGACAGTCAGTAAAAAAAAAATAAGGAAAGTATTAATATATATTTTGTTCATGTTGTACAGATATGATTATATAATTTATATATTTTTAATCTCAGGTGCAGGTTACTCTGAGTTAATAACATTTTCTAGTGTACAGCACATGCATTAACTGTCCATGCAAACACATCTCTCTTTTTTTCCATTTTATTATTTTTTTCCTTCATCCTTCATTTTAAGTCTTACCAGTCTCCTCACTGCAAGCACCACTATATTTCACTTAAGCTCTAACTTCACAGACAACTCTGGATATATGTGGTTCTTTGAAACATATATGGCACTGTTTTATATGTGCATCTGTTTTTAATTTATATACACAGCATTTTCCTATAACCTTCATTCAGTTTGTAATTTTTAAATAAATATTCATTCAGAGATCACTGATGCTGCTCTAATACTACTTTATTGCTTCTTAATGCTGGATAATATTTTACTGTATGCATATACCACGTTTTATTTACCTATTTCACAGATATGGGCACCCAGTGGCCTCTAACCTGCTACCACAGTGAACATCTTTGTGCCTGTCCCCTTATGAACCTGGACTCAAGTTTCTCTGGGATGTATCCCTGGAATGGATTACTGGATCACATTCATTTACAGTAAATAGGCCCAGACTGTTCTCCACAATGGCTGTGCTAGCGTATATTCCCATCAACATTGTACAAGAGTGCCCATCTTCCTATATCTCACTAATAGCTGGCTTACCTCTAATTTTTGCCATCTGTTGAAAGTCAAGAGTTGGGAATCTCTTTGTATACGTGCTAATTGAGATTTGGCTTTCAGTGAATTGCATAGTTTTATCCATATTTTATATTGGGATTCTTTTTATATGGATTTGTAAATTCCTTATACATTCTAGGTGTTAACATTTTGCAAAATTTAAGTAATTTTGATTATTTAAATTTATCCAGTTCAGTATCTGATAACCTTGTTTATGATGCCTTTCATTAAACAGAAATCCTTAACTTTAATTCTATTAAGTCCATCAATATACTTTC